AATCTTCAGACGCCCTCTGCAGATAAGATTGTTATATGGTTGTGTGCTCATGTGATAGTGTTTATGTGGATGAGAATTGTCGAACCATACATAAGAGGCCATTAGAACACAAAAATTTATGAATTCAGAACATCTGGTCACTACAGGACACCGGATAGAGTGGCCTAAATCCCAATGTTTTGCGGGATATAGGGAATTTACGGCTAAGCTGATCTGGAAGTCGATTGAAATTGACAAAACAAAAAACGTCCCAAATAAGAGAAACGAATGTAGGAAGGTAAGTACGAAAACTCGGCACGGAATCATCGGGATCGTGGGAACCGATGTCCTCTTCGCACAATACAACGGACAAAAGTCTCTGATATCCAGAAAGGCCAATTTACGAATACTTTCCATCCGCCTCCTCAAACTAAAAGAAGGTATACCAGTATCAATCTACTAAGCAATTCTTCGAAACCTAGCTTCTCATCATATCTCAACAAGAATATTCAAGTAAAGCCAATCGGCAGCTGTTCAAGATGAATCCACCGCCACCTTCTAGTGGCCTCGACCTTCGAAACTCTTCATCAAACACTCATTCAAAAGGAAAATGATAATTTTCCAAACCAGGACTAGGCTAAAGTTTAATTCCGTCATAGAGACAACTCATATTTTGTATTCTGTATTCCCATTCAAGGTACGGTGCAGTTTTGGTCCCGTTTATATAAAACACTATTGGTACGATTCAAACACGAAAAGTAGGGATTGAGAGGCCACACATGGCCCCATCATCACATTTGTTTGAACATATAAATAATGGGTTTAAGTCCTGCCGGCAGCGAATGGAACTGAATAAGATCAAAAGTGGAGTCCATCAGGGATAATTATAGACGTATAGACAAGTAACAGTTACATATGTCAAAAAAGTGTTGTCTTCAATTCATCATGACAAGATAGGCCATAATCACATGAAACATCAATTTGCTAGTTAATTTCTAGCCCTTATGTTCTTAGTGCAATACACGGAATTACTTCGAAAATGAAATCTATCAAATGTATTAGGTAAGATTAGATAGGTTAGACATAAGACGTTGTAGTGAGGTTACTGAGAACACACAGTTTTGTGTTTATAGCTCAGGCTAAAGAGCGAAAAACATGGAAAAAGTACCTTTTCTGGAGTCAAGATGATCCCGAGAAGTGATGTGCCTTTGTTTAGTGATCGAAGATGCAGTAAGAGATGATGCATTTGTGTTTGCAGTCGGAAGAGAGAGAGAGGATGAGACAAGAGAAACATTATCGGAAAGTTCATCGGGGTTAATTAGAGCACTAAAAGGACCTTTAATGCTGGCGCCGTCATCTTGGCTATGCATCGGATTATCATTAAGGTCGCTCGTCGGAATTATATCAGAGTTGCGACTATCACTTATCGTTTGAGAGACAGAAGAGGGAAGAGATGAGCAGGAAACTGAGACTCCATCCCATTCTTCAGACCTTCTGTTTATGATGGCTGAGGAGAGGATGAGAGAAGAGTCGATATCAGGATGGCGCCGAACTAGGCCAGCCGTGCTGTTGGAGCTCGTGGGATTAAGTGGGCTTTGATCAGTTAACGGAAGCGAAAGATCTAGAAATACCTCCTCTCGACTGGATATCTGTAGATGAAAATAGCAGCGATAGCAAGTGAATTTATCTAAGATTAAGCAAATATTTGGTAGAAAATGCAGTTGCATAAATAAAAATAAGTATAAAAAATTCCAAGTCTAATTATCAAGCTCCCAGTAATAAATAAACATAAGAATATGAAACGATTTAACCCGAGTTGACCACGGTTTCCTGATAGATAGCATTGCTAAAGTAAAACGAAAAAACTTGGTTAAAAGATAAAGATCTGAAAGGTAGCTAGTCTTCGCCTTATAATAAATTCTCGTCGAAACAAACTTATATCAATACTCAATCTAGCTGCAATGGAATTTCCTCAACTCTCGGTCTATAAATAACAACCTCAAAAGTTTTCAAGTATAATTTTTATGATTAATAACTCTCAGGATTTTTATCTATAAATTTAGATAAGGGGAAGAAGCCATGTTCTTCGTACATTTAAAAATATAAGATATCATAAGTAAGCTTACGCGACTGCACGAGAGACATTGGATACTGCTAACCAACTTGCCCTGAAAGACATCCGTGATGATACTACGTGGTTCCGTAGGAGTCGGAGCAATGTTTGGCTTGACTGCAAACAAAAAAATTTAGAAAAATGTCAAGAAGTAAACCAAGAAACGAATAACTCGTATATCACTGGAGATAAAATCGTTCGACGGATAGCTGGGTAAAAAATTTAAGTAAGTCCTAGACGATAACAGCCTGACCCAGTGGAGTAATTTGTGTGCATAACAGTTATTTACATTTCCTCGATGCTCTTGGTCATGTTG